GTAACTTTGACAGCCTGGTTTGAGGCTTACCAAAGGTCTATTATCAGACTGGAATTAGGCTACGCTATTTATATTTTACAGCTTTATATTATGCTATCCAATTTACCTTTGACAGTCTGGTATTATCCTAACCAATGTACCTGGGACAGTCTGGTATTAGGCTAAGCATTGTACCTTTGACAGTCTGGTATTAGACTAACCTATGTAACGTTGACAGTCCGTTATTAAGCTTACCAATGTACCTTTGACATTCTGTTATTAAAGAGGAATTACTCTCGTCAACAAGTTTTACTTCTCCCAGATATGAATCAAAAATAATAAAGTTAGAGTATTTGTTTACAATCATGTTAGAGAAAGATTTTGGCCCCGGGCGGTAATAACCCTAGATACGCGTCTGCTCCGTTGTGAAATTAGTGGAGAAAATTCTATCCTAGCACCAGTTCAAGTACTACTGATTTTAATTAGCATTATATCAGGAATTTTTAGGTCACCAATGAATAAACTTTATTTTAAAAAAAACAGAACCCAAATAACTTTATATTTTTTTCAACAGAAAAATTATTTTGTATTCTGTGTCTGAAAAACATATTTAGATGATAAATTGAACCCAACGATCACCGTATGTCTGAGCTGTAGGCAGAAATATATAGGCATTAAGACATACTTTGTGCTCACTGTTTAAAGCTCAAAGTCATTTTCATCTTACATACCGGGCAGCTCAAACAAGGAGATCGATTTTATTAATGGCACCATTTCTATTGACTATTGATCATTTCCCGATTTTCTCTTTTCTGGTATCAGACTAACCAATGTAACTTTGACACCATCGTATTACTCAAATCAATGTACCTTTGACAGCCTGGCATTAGGCTAACCAATGTACTTTTGACAGCCTGATATTAGGCTAACCAATGTACTTTTGACAGCATGATATTGGGCTAACCAATGAACTTTTTCTAGCAACAGTTTTTCTCATTTTACCTGCTTCCATGTCTTTCTTCCTCTTGGCGGCACACCTGGCTTCATCTCACGGCACACATAACATCAACTATGCCGTGCTAAACCGGTTGTGGAGCTTTGATCTCGAGCAATGCGACAGGGGATGATCTTGTACGAAACACATTTCTGAAATGTTGACATTGTCTAAACCAAAGTTTAACGGTGGTGCAGCTAGGGTTGGTGTCACCCTGTGGTGTAGCTAGGGTTGGTGTCACCCTGTGGTGTAGCTAGGGTTGGTGTCACCCTGTGGTGTAGCTAGGGTTGGTGTCACCCTGTGGTGTAGCTAGGGTTGGTGTCACCCTGTGGTGTAGCTAGGGTTGGTGTCACCCTGTGGTGTAGCTAGGGTTGGTGTCACCCTGTGGTGTAGCTAGGGTTGGTGTCACCCTGTGGTGTAGCTAGGGTTGGTGTCACCCTGTGGTGTAGCTAGGGTTGGTGTCACCCTGTGGTGTAGCTAGGGTTGGTGTCACCCTGTGGTGTAGCTAGGGTTGGTGTCACCCTGTGGTGTAGCTAGGGTTGGTGTCACCCTGTGGTGTAGCTAGGGTTGGTGTCACCCTGTGGTGTAGCTAGGGTTGGTGTCACCCTGTGGTGTAGCTAGGGTTGGTGTCACCCTGTGGTGTAGCTAGGGTTGGTGTCACCCTGTGGTGTAGCTAGGGTTGGTGTCACCCTGTGGTGTAGCTAGGGTTGGTGTCACCCTGTGGTGTAGCTAGGGTTGGTGTCACCCTGTGGTGTAGCTAGGGTTGGTGTCACCCTGTGGTGTAGCTAGGGTTGGTGTCACCCTGTGGTGTAGCTAGGGTTGGTGTCACCCTGTGGTGTAGCTAGGGTTGGTGTCACCCTGTGGTGTAGCTAGGGTTGGTGTCACCCTGTGGTGTAGCTAGGGTTGGTGTCACCCTGTGGTGTAGCTAGGGTTGGTGTCACCCTGTGGTGTAGCTAGGGTTGGTGTCACCCTGTGGTGTAGCTAGGGTTGGTGTCACCCTGTGGTGTAGCTAGGGTTGGTGTCACCCTGTGGTGTAGCTAGGGTTGGTGTCACCCTGTGGTGTAGCTAGGGTTGGTGTCACCCTGTGGTGTAGCTAGGGTTGGTGTCACCCTGTGGTGTAGCTAGGGTTGGTGTCACCCTGTGGTGTAGCTAGGGTTGGTGTCACCCGGTGGTGTAGCTAGGGTTGGTGTCACCCGGTGGTGTAGCTAGGGTTGGTGTCACCCGGTGGTGTAGCTAGGGTTGGTGTCACCCTGTGGTGTAGCTAGGGTTGGTGTCACCCTGTGGTGTAGCTAGGGTTGGTGTCACCCTGTGGTGTAGCTAGGGTTGGTGTCACCCTGTGGTGTAGCTAGGGTTGGTGTCACCCGGTGGTGTAGCTAGGGTTGGTGTCACCCGGTGGTGTAGCTAGGGTTGGTGTCAGCCGGTGGTGTAGCTAGGGTTGGTGTCACCCTGTGTGGTCAACTCTTGGAATTACCCCTCCCCCCCCTACTTCCACGATAGATTTGATAATGCTATAGTACGTCCACATCATAATAATAACAACAAAATAAACAAAAATCAAATAACAGTGTGTAATATTTCAAGTGTACTGTCGATTAAAATTTCAAAATAACTCGCAGCCTTTATGTCCATGATAAGACATGCCATTTGGCATCATCCTGTAGAACCATTAATTTGTTAGTTGGAGCACACCTCCTTTAGATTTCGCATCGTGCCTTGTCACTACGCTGAATGGTACGTCCTTGTTCTGAATCGAAGCACTTTCTGAATCGAAGCACTAACTATTTTAATAATTACAATCCGAAAATTATCTGGAATTTGTATTTCCAGATAGAAACATCTGCTAAACTAGTCTAGTTTTTCTCATTTACAGTATTTTGATTTGAATCAACTTTATCAGCACCATGGGCGCCCGCAGAAAACTTTCGGGGGGGGGGGAAATCGATTAACTTTCTAGGGGGGGGGGAGGGCAAAAAAATTTTAATGTTTTCATGTAGTTTTAATTTGTTGTAGCGTATTTGTATGGTGAACGAACGTACAGGACATCAGCTTAGTTACTTTCTCTTTATTTTGTCTTAACTTTAATAAATTTTTTGTCTATATTTGTCTAAAAATTTTTTTATCCAATCAATCCCCCCTTGGCCCCCCCCCTCTTCGGGCGCCCATGATCTGCACCCATTTCCGTTTTCTAACCATACACGTCTTTTTCTTGTATTTCCACGTCAATCTCTTCCATTTTATGCACTTATTGCTGTTCTGTAGAATGCATTCTGTTGGTATCTGAGGAATCATTATCAATGGTAGGCTTAGGAAGTCTTTTGATAAATCCTGGTTTCATTTGGTTTCTTGACATATCGAAGCATGGATCCTGGTAATGACTTTAGTGTGTCACTTCTTTTCCTTTTGGCTACTGAGGGCCACTAGGCCGTTTGGATTTGTCCTCGCCGCGTAGCATGATAGTATAATCATAAACAATACAAATGCTTTAAATGCGCCGTGTTCAAGACAACAAAGAAATAATAATTACGACAGTTCAAAAACAACAGACAGTGCACTGAGTGCAATAACCAAAATACAACACACAAGGGTGGTAGGTATAACCCAGCAGTCAAAATTGGACAATCGTTCTCAAATGTTAAGGCAGTGTCTGTGACAAAACGATGAAAATATTACTTTTGTTACTATTTTTGGGTTTCGATATATTTGGTTTCAAAAACTTTTTTTTTTTAAATTTAAGTTAAATAAACTTAAATTAATTATCTAAAGATATTAGACAATTTTGTAAAATACTAATTTGCTAACCCTATAAATGGAATTTTAAAAAAAATGTTTTGAATTTGTATCGATTCGATTCATGAACTTACTTAGTATCGCCCGACCACATCGTATTTGATATCAATCAAAAGCTTTATTTCTCAGAATTTAGACTATAGTTTGAGATCACTTACGAAAGTTACCAACACTTCAAGCGGCGTTGAATCATGTTCAAAATGTGTTAAATTGGCCTAATTATAGGTTCCTCCTTTTTAACGCATTACCCTTGAACTTTTGAAAAAGCACGCATTTGGATTGGTTATATGTGTGTACATTATTGTGTGATCGGGTATCCTTTTATGAAATTCGATCGATCATAATGTGCTCCGTAAATATGCATTTTTTTTTCAATTTGGTGTCACCCCTTGAGATGGTGTCACCCGGTGCGTCCACACACCCGCACCCCCGTAGCTACGACATGTTACTGACTTAATTTTTGGAACATGACGTCTTTGGAGAAGCCTTTAACAAAACAAATGAAAAATAACTTTTATCCCGGAGCTTTCTATAATGCCTTACCAGATGTCTGAGATCTGTTCAATGTACGTTTGATTTTGACCAAGCGAGTCTACTGTAAGCAGGTTTTAGAAAAGCTTAGAATTTTTCATTATTTTTATACAGGAAATTAAAAAATAGAAATAAATAAATAAACCAACTGCTTATCATGTTCGTACTTGTTATTGTTGAGGATTATACCACTCGGCCTAGAAGACCCGAAGCAAATAAAACAACATAAAAGTGCATAATATTATCTTGGTCACGATGCGCGTTTTAGAAGTGTGAAAGAAAAGCAAATGACTTTATAAAATAAATGAAAGTGTGAAACAGTAAGATTGTGATCTTTAATGGGATCTAAGATTTCAGCAAAACTCACCATTTCCTTAACTAAGTGATGTGAGCATTCATGCGCACCACATATCAGCTAGTGCGCTCATAGTTATTTTCCCTGAATTCTAGTTCCGTATTTTTACTTTCTATGAGGTCATATTATCGTTTCGCTTTTATAAATCTAACAGAAGATTAAAACGGTTTTAGAGCCAAATTTTATTCTTAAAAACAACCCCCCCCCCTATAATTTCCATATGAGATAATCCAATGGAATCGGCAGCTGGGTCGATTCGTGACTGCTTGTCTATCAAGTAAACATGGGACCATCATGATAATTATAGGATTTAGTTCTCCCCACACGCATTCGCACCAAACGTGAACAGCAACCACTAGACGTCACCTTGGATATGACGTGGAGGCGGCTCTGATGGCGTCTGTATACAGTATGGTGCCTAGCTGAAGTCTTCATCTCACCGACCAGCTGCAATGGGTACTGCCATGAGAAACCCTAACCTCTCGTCGGTGCGTTTAAATTTACTTTAAGATGCTGCTGACAGTCGCAGTGTATCTGAACGAGTTAGTCCGTTATCTGTACAGTATCATTTACCCTGAGGTCGGTGAGGAGGCGACGTCAAAGAGAGCGTCTGCGGAGTCCAAGCGGCAGAGCTACGTGCCTAAACAAACTTCGTCCAAAACTAAATTTGTGTGTTCGTAACTATCCGTGTACTACTGGGTAGAAGCAGTTGGTTAGGTGAGTCATTTTAGCTTTTTGGTAATTTTAAGGGACTAATTTTAGATTGTTATATGAGTAAGTTTAATTAAAAGGTGAGTATTTTAAGATTGTAAGTAATGTTTGGGAGTCAATTTAGCGTGTTAGGTAAGTACTTTTAGCTTGTTAGGTGGGTAATGTTGGTTGGTTAGGAGAGTAATTTAAGATTAAGAAGACACGAACAATTTGTGTCAATATAACTCTATAAGTTAAGCTTTAATAATAATTTTACATAATAAACTATCGTTTGTTATAAACTACTTATTTATTATGTAAAATTATTATTAAAGCTTAACTTACATTGTTATACTGACACAAATTGTTCGTGTCTTATTAATCTATTTTAAAGCTTTATCGCAGTCCAATACTTTTTATAATAGAGTAATTTTAGCTTGGTTTCGTGATAATTTTGCTGGTTAATCTTACAGATTAGAAGAGTAATGTTATTTTTCTATGGTAGAAAATTTTCATTCGTTGCGCCTGGCTCGTTTTTTAAAGGTTATTTTCAGCCCCATAATGTGGTATCAAAACATATAGCATTTGATACTGGCATTAGTTGCCGTTCTCAGCCTTCTATTTTAATTGTTTGCATATGCAAAGTACTCATACTGCATAAAAGTGCGACTTTATTGAACATTTATTTTGTGAGGCATGCCCTATACAATTATTTCCTAAACCCAGTAAATAATAGTAATATTCGTACAAATCTACTGATTGAAGAAGACTGAACGGAGAAGACTTGCACTTTGCCTTATATTGGAATCAAAATAGTATTCTCCGAGATCTACATTTTTTGTAACGCTTGTATTTTCATAGTTTTGTTAAATATATATAGACCAGATTAAAACAAGTTTAAGTTTCTAATTATTGTTAGAATATATATTATTTGTATTTATTTTTACAGATCAGTAAAAAGCAGCCGGTCTACCATGTTGATCACAGCCACCATTGTGACGTACTGGCTCATGTCTGGTTTACACTACCTAATGAGCGGTGAAAATAGATTAGAGGAAGTCCATGTCAAAGAGGAAGAACCGATCCCAGAGCCAGAAGAGGACCCTCAGGATACCAGCTGCGGGGCCAGCGCCTACGTTAGCAGATGCAACAATATTTGCAACAGCTGCAAGTACCAACAGTTCACCGGCGTCCGCAAGGGGGACAAGCTGGCCCGGGCCGCTTCCAGCTACGGTCGTGTATCCAGGGGTCACTGAGCTAGTGCTTTTTTATTATTATTATTTTTATGTGGATAGTTTAAGCCTATAGCCACATATGATCTCTGCTTGCGTTCAGCTGGTTCAAACTAAACATAACATATCATTTTCGCAGTGAAACTTTAGAATCCATTGTCATCACAGAATAAAGGCAGAGCTTCAGTAGTTTTTTCCTCACGTGATCAAGCCGTCGCCACCAAATTTTAATTCCTTTAAATGCGAACATACATTTTTTTTTATCTTATTAATATACGTTGGTCATTTTCAAATAAGTAACTCGCACTTTGAAAACGATTGGTTGTCCTAAGCCGTGGAACGGACCACCATGATCACTGACCCCATAAGGTAGAGGCGGAAGTTCCCACGAACTAAAAGGCTAAAGAACATGCTAAAATTTCAGTACCAAACAGTGATATCAAATTTTCTCGCATGACCGTACTGCTGAAAGGACTTCTCCAACGTACCTAACCCATTTTCTAGAGACGGACAAGTCTTTCGGTGCACTAGCTTCCTTCTTTCAGCGTCACATTAGAACTCTCGCGTGATCTCATGTGGATCCTTTGTTGAGGACATTAAACTTTAACTTTTTAAGTGAACTATTTTAAAAACAAAAAAAACAACACGACTTCGTCCAAAGAAGAATCGGGACAATGTCAAGAACAGGTCACGCGGCACAAGTGTGGCTTCACGTTGACGATGATAAGGCTGAGCAGCAGGACGTGGTCTGTCAACGAACATTGGAGGAGTTCTACAACAGATGTTCAGGTAAAGCATGTATTACTCAGGGAAGTGGGGTGTGGGCGGGCAGTTCGCCCCGGTGGCTCTTTTTTCTCTGTATGGGAATGCGGCATTTTGGGCCAACTGCAGAGTTTTTCATGGAAGGGGGGCTCCCGATCGGGACTAACCCTAGCTACGCCACTGAGTAAGGATATTGTTTTCTTAAAAGAAGTTCAATTGGCTCTATCAGAAACTGGGTCCAGGCTTCTCCAATTGTCTCTATCAGAAACTGGGTCCAGGCTTCTCCAATTGGCTCTATCAGAAACTGGGTCCAGGCTTCTCCAATTGGCTCTATCAGAAACTGGGTCCAGGCTTCTCCAATTGGCTCTATCAGAAACTGGGTCCAGGCTTCTCCAATTGGCTCTATCAGAAACTGGGTCCAGGCTTCTCCAATTGGCTCTATCAGAAACTGGGTCCAGGCTTCTCCAATTGGCTCTATCAGAAACTGGGTCCAGGCTTCTCTTTGAACGATTGAAGCTTTTAAGGCGTGAAATAATGGGCTTAAAAATGCTCTATAAGGTCCAAACATCTATTACGCTACGTTCACCGGGGGGAAATGGGGAAGGGGGCTGTTGATCTAGAATATTTGCAAATGTGTCGTAATGGGAGTGGTCTCAGCATAATTGGGACACACATGTAAGCAAACACTCTGCAGTTGTTACCAAATATTTGGAAGGCCATAAATAGCCCATTTATCTCTATAATGTAGCCAAAGGCAACATAAACATCTTTGAAATCTATGATTTCAAATTATTTTCAAAGGCTTGTAAAATACAACCATGGAGTTTCGTAATTATCGTCATTTTACAGCTTTAAGTTTTAAAAATTAAAGTTGCTAGAGCAGAACCATCGTGTGCTGCATCCCATGGCCTCGGATGTTTAAAGGGCCAAAATTTGGGAAGTGGAAAAACTATAAAACTATCAACTATGAAATCAAAAAGTGGCAAGGGGCCTCAAAAAGTCAAGCGACGACTCTGCGCTGGAGACGCCAAACAACTGGCAGCGGTTGCAAAAAGGGTAGAAAACCAGTGACATTATTGAACCACGAATTACGGTAGCTTTGTTTCTTTGACTTGTACGAATTACGGTAGCATTATTTAATTGACTTGTTCGAATTGCGGTAGCATTATTTCATTGACTTGTACGAATTACGGTAGCATTATTTCATTGACTTGTACGAATTACGGTAGCATTATTTCATTGACTTATTCGAATTGCGGTAGCATTATTTCATTGACTTGTACGAATTACGGTAGCATTATTTCATTGACTTGTACGAATTACGGTAGCATTATTTCATTGACTTGTACGAATTACGGTAGCATTATTTCATTGACTTGTTCGAATTGCGGTAGCATTATTTCATTGACTTGTACGAATTGCGGTAGCATTATTTCATTGACTTGTTCGAATTGCGGTAGCATTATTTCATTGACTTGTTCGAATTACGGTAGCATTATTTCTTTGCCTTGTTCGAATTCCGGTAGCATTATTTCATTGACTTGTTCGAATTACGGTAGCATTATTTCATTGACTTGTACGAATTACGGTAGCATTATTTCATTGACTTGTTCGAATTACGGTAGCATTATTTCATTGACTTGTTCGAATTGCGGTAGCATTATTTCATTGACTTGTACGAATTACGGTAGCATTATTTCATTGACTTGTTCGAATTGCGGTAGCATTATTTCATTGACTTGTACGAATTACGGTAGCATTATTTCATTGACTTGTTCGAATTACGGTAGCATTATTTCATTGACTTGTTCGAATTGCGGTAGCATTATTTCATTGACTTGTACGAATTACGGTAGCATTATTTCATTGACTTGTTCGAATTGCGGTAGCATTATTTCATTGACTTGTACGAATTACGGTAGCATTATTTCATTGACTTGTTCGAATTGCGGTAGCATTATTTCATTGACTTGTACGAATTACGGTAGCATTATTTAATTGACTTGTTCGAATTACGGTAGCATTGTTTCATTGACTTGTTCGAATTGCGGTAGCATTATTTCATTGACTTGTACAAATTACAGTAGCATTGTTTCATTGACTTGTTCGAATTACGGTAGCATTGTTTCATTGACTTGTTCGAATTACGGTAGCATTGTTTCATTGACTTGTTCGAATTACGGTAGCATTGTTTCATTGACTTTTACGACGTGAGTAATAATTTGAAACTAATGCTGAACGTATGAGGTGTGCGAATGATTGAGGAGCGCATTTGTGTACGCTTGTGTCCATAAAATGTATGGATGCAACTGGGGCAAGGGGTATGAAGATACTTCTTTTTTGCGTATCTACTATTGAACCGACTAAAACCATATGCCGACAGAATCATTGCTGAAGAACAGGCGGGCTTCAGACAAGAACGGGGACCCTACTGAGCAGATTCTATACCTCCGAATACTATGTGAGAAATATGCTCAACACCAACAAAATCTATACCAGTCTTTGTTGGCTTCAAGAAAGCATTTGACAGGGTTTGGCATGCTGCTTTATGGGCCACCATGAGGTACTACAACATCAACACAAACCTAACGAGAATGATATGCAACCTCTATGATAAGGCCACTGTGCAGTCTTCCTCAACAACAACATCGGAGAATGATTCAAGACCACGATTGGAGTACGACAAGGCTGCCTGCTCTCCCCCACCCTATTCAACATCTTCCTAGAGAGAATTAAGTCAGATGCTCTGGAAGCGCATGAAGGGACAGTCAGCATTGGTGGCAGAACATCACCAACCTACGCTTTGCGGACGACATAGACGGACTGGCTGGGAACGAAGAAGAGATAGCCAAGCTGGTAAAGCGTCTCGATAAGACCTCGTCGTCCTACGGCATGCTAATCAGTGCCGAAAAGACAAAACTGATGACAAATAATACCGCAGGCATCACCACTGAAATTAAGGTCGGGGAGGAAAGATTAGAGACTGTTGGCCGCTTCAAATGCCTAGGAGCAATAGTCTCAGAAGAAGGCTCCAAGCCCGAACTGATGTCCAGGATTGCGCAGACTACAACAGCACTAAAGAGGCTCAAGAAAATAAGGAATTACAAAAATATAGCCCCCAACACCAAATGCGCTCATTAGTCCTCTCCATTTTCCTGTATGCCTGCCAATCCTGGGCATTATCAGCCGATCTTGAAAGGAAAATAAAGGCGATGGAGATGAGATGCTTCAGAAGCATTTTTGGCATCTGCTATAGGGACCACATCTCCAATGATACGGTGAAAGAAAGGGTTCACCAGGCAATTGGGGAGTACGATGACCTACTGGTGACTGTGAAAAAACGCAAACTACAATGGGACGGCCACGTAAGAAGGAAACAAGGGCTCACCAAAGAAATATTGCAGGGGACCACAAGAGGAGGGAGAAGAAGAGGAAGACAAAGAAAAAGACGGGAGGATAACATCAAAGAGTGGACAGGACTAACACTGGGCAAGACAGAGAGGAATGGAGGAGAATGGTTCACATGTCATCTGCGGCGCCCCAATGGTCCAAGGACTAAGGGACATGAGAATGAGGAGGACTATTGTTGAAATGAATTAATAGTTAGATAATAATTCAGCTCTAATAGGTCTTCTTTACTCTGTAAATCCAATCACTAATTATATTTCATTATACATTTGAAAGGACAGAAGGGTGAGATTTAGTGGTTGATAAACATTTAAGACAGAGTAGGCAACTTCCTGTGGGTTCCACAGCTTGGAGTGACCAGGGAACACCAATTTGTCAAGGGGTTTTCGCACCCATATTGAAGTCCTTCCTTTTTCCTGTAACCTCTTAAGTACCACCTTCTTACGGATCCACACTGGACAGATATGATAATAACAAATAATAGATTAATGGCTCTTAATTTTTAGGTGCAATTTAATCTTTAGTCACATTACTACTGAACGCGTGAGTAATCGAAGTAGTTTATAGAAATACTATTGTCATCAGAGTGTGGGGCCCTGAGCTATCTACCGTTTTGTTGGCCAAGGAGCTTATACGACATTGTTGGAGGCGTCAAATACTAACGATATTCATGTCAAATACATATTTGGGTATCTCATGCTTCTTTTATTTTAACGTATGATATCAATTCAGTAACTTTATCTTCATTAAGTTTTCATTATATTTTGTATCTATTTATATAAAAAAAAGAATAAATGAACTTGCATCTTAAACAAATCTTGAAATTTTACCCCCTCCCCCAAACCCTCTCTCAGATTGCTTTCAGAATTCAGAGAAGTTAGCTCAGCAAACAGTGGCGACGACCTTGGAAACTTCATGCCCAGTCCTCTTGTCCAGTGTGAAAACCTCTGAAAACCACGTGACTGCCAGGCCCAGATGGCTCCTTCGAAACAGCGGCGTCTACCGCCTCTTCCACGGCTTCCTAACGGGAAAGAAAAACACAGAGCCCAATAATGAAAGGAAATATCGGGTTGTTCCGCCCTCGGCACCCGACCCCCCAAAAAGGTGAAACTGGTCGACCGTTCCATAAAGATAGCTGGTTTGTCGTAAATCAAAGGTGTCCGATGAACTGCAGGATCCAAGCCTGGGTTTACTGACTACGTCATGTAGCTTGTGGAGTGGGCCCAAAAGCATGTTGATATATAAGAACACTATCTCTTCAACCCGTTTTTAGAGACGGCGATTCAACCCGTTTTCATTCAACCAGTATTTTTTCAACCTTAAATAAGCACAGATTTTATTGATGGTGTAATAATTTCTAATTTCTCTTCATTGACTTTCATCGTAATGCTTTGATAGGCTTATCTTTCATACGGTTCAAATGATGCTGCGATCAGACCAACGATTAGCTGTGGCGTCAAGATTGTGTTTCCCTCTGTGTTCATAATAAACAGCTAGAAATGATAACATAAATGTGATCATCGAGTTAGTCTGATATCTAATCTAACACGCGTTCATAAGGTAGTGGGAATCAAGATAAACCATTTCTATTAGTAGTTAGCAAGTTGTGCTAACTCGATTTGCTGACCCGCTTATTTAAACTTGTTGGACGTATGGGTTCCAAGGGGCGCACGTTTCTGTGCGGGGGAAATTGTCGCTCCGATTGCTCAGTGGGACGTATCCGCCTTTGGTCTGTTCGCTCCACTGGTGCCGTGCGTTGGGTTAGCTGTAGTTATGTCTCGTTCAATGTTGAGTCTAAGTGTGGCTGGAATGTACTGATAGTCATCTAAAGAGATTAGGATCTGAGTTATACAATAAGCCTCTCTCCACAGTACTTTAAAAAAAAAAATTAGTCTGATTGACGCAGTTAAAAGGATCTTCGCTATAGAGAACGCTATTACTGAGTGCACTTCAAAATACACGTTTGAAATGAAAGAGTCGTCCAAAAAGTGAATAATAATATTAGTGTACTTTTAAAGAGTTTTCATGAATGCAACTGGCTTCATATTCAATTTTTATGAAAACAAAAATGAAGAAGAGGAAATGTGCAAAGCAGTAGTAAGTCGTGCCAAAGCTCCATTCAATTTAATGAAAATTCTTGTTCAATAGCAAGTCAGTCCAATGAAGTTGAATAAAGTGTTGATAAATTCCATAACACAAGTCATTTCCGGTGTCAGCTACTTTTATGCAAATAAGTTGAAAAAAGGTCAACTTTTATATATATATATATATATATATATATTATATATATATGTATCTGTTCTGTAACTGTGTGTACAGTATGTTAGTGAAACCACACGAAACTTTTAAACCCAATCACTGGCAGGTCACATCGTCTATGATAAAATAGCTAGACATTAGCAGTGAATTATGCTCACACCCATAACTTAAGAGCTCCATTGACTGGTCCTGGACCATGTTAAGCTTCGCCTATAGAACACCACTGAATAGGATGGTGGAGTACAGCTTTTGTTCGACATTAATATTACAAGAATAAAGATGGAAGACATCTAAAGAATCTTAAAACTAAAACAATTTCGCATTGTTTGAATATTATGCTCATAAAATATTTTTTGTTTTGTTAATCACACAAGTTAGTAAATCTGAACCTATAATTACCAATTTACACACTACTTGGTAAAGAATGCATTCCTAATAATAAAACTAGGCAACAATCAAATCTTGGTATTCTCAGTCGTAAGTAAGCTGTCAAATAAGTATTGCTTTCTGGATCAGATCTAAGAGAACTTGTCAAATAAATGACATTATTATAACTAAATTATATTTAGAGATGGACAGAAAAAGTAGAGGAAGATTCTACTCTTAATTGATAGGTAAATGAAAATGTAAATGAAATCTCTATGAATGTATTTTACAGTTTGCGTCAAAAGTAACTGTACAGAAACTCTCGTATCGTACACGTACGTTCATCAGTCAACGGTACATAGCCACGACCACCACGTGTTCCAAGAAGTGAAAAGGGTTAAATGTTGGGCGGCTTTTGTTGCAAATGGGTCTCTCCGTAGATGACAAAGTAATCATAGTTAACCAACATTTTCGCTCTTAGTAACTGAGTTGAGTAAGTGATTTTATTGTGCCAAAACAAACAATGGGGGGGGGGGGGGGTGGGGGGGGAGGGGGGTGTCGTGTTGGAATATAGATGGATGATCAATTCCACAAAAAAAAATTTAATAAGACGGCAACAGGGAATACAGTTACGCTGTCTAGTGTTACGAAGTTACCGCTATGGATGAGAATGTGTATTGTGTCCATTAATGGAAGAGGAAGTCTGGTCGACCATTAAGATTTTCTGTAATGAGAATCACGCCCGTGCTCTACAAACGGCGCTGCCTATGAAGTCTAGGCCCCTATGAAGTCTAGGCCCCTATGACGTCTTAGGCCTCTATGAAGTCTACGAGTATCATCCTTCAAAATGAACAATAGTCCTACTTCCGTCCATTATTTGCTTCATACCAGGAGGTGTATGTGCTTTTTGTGTACCCGGTGCAGGGTACAACGCTTGGCGGAGCCAGACATGCGAGTCAGAATGATGGATAGGGGACATCTTTGGATATGGTCTAAGAGGTTCCTTATTTGTATAGGACTGATTGGTTGTCTGACGAAAGTCACACTCGTAAACAATTCAGACTTTGCCTTTCGTTTACGGGCTACCTTTCCAGAACCGCTTTATTTTGGGCCTTTCAGACTTACAAAAATACTCTCTTGTCATTGTTGTTCCACCTTTTTTGCCCAAACATGATCAACCTTTACGTTCACATAACGCATGAGTGAAAACGCTGCTCGACAATGAATACTTCATTTGTATTCGTGGAGGGACCCATTTCGATCAAAAACTGCCTAACATTTAATCCTTTTCACTTCTATGGTCAGGAGGCAGCTTGACCTATGCAACATTGATAAACGCAAGTACGAATTTAAGATGCGGACATTTCAGTACAGTTAGTTTTGGTGCATGCTGTATTTACAATATCAATTGGTGGGGTGGATTGTGGGAGGGGGGGGGGATTTCCTGTCACGATGGGACGTATTTCATTATGAACTCTTTGTTATAAAAGTTATGGGGGTCATACAACAAAGAGTTCATAATGAAATATAAAAGTTATGGGGGTCATACATTCCTAAACAAGAAACCGAAAGTAATTTTGAAAACATTCGGATATTCTCCTTCTAAACTTGTGCACCTGATCAAAAAAGCACGGGGAGTTACAGAAAAGGGAATTCACTCATGAAACATGAAATACCCAAATCAATAAATGGGTTACTTACAGTGTTTCTTTTAGAAATTTTCCCCCTGAGGGGCACTTCAGATTTTCGGGGGG